TCATCACACTCTTTTATTTCTCCTGTAAGCTCTTTGGTGGTTGTTTTGGCTTTTTAAGCAGTTTTTCATAGGCCTATTCTCACCCTTTGGCAATTCCCGTTTTGGTAAATTTTGCTTCCAGGAGCCAGGGCGCTTGCCCCTCCATTGCAATGAAGACAGAAGTGTATTCATCTGAATCCTACGATCAATGTCTATCATCAGAGTTAGTCTCAGTCCATCAGGACAAGGTACGGTGGAATTACTCACTCAGTTGTCATGTTGCAGCTGGAGTGTTGATGATATGGCCATCTTTTTACTTCTTAAAACTATAGGATTAGTCTTCTTTCACATCTAAGAATCACTCCAAGGATCATAAGTGTGCTGTAATAGCTGTGCTTCAAGTAACTAGTTGTTAATAGTGACATCTGGTATGAAGTAAAACGGTTCCATCATTACTTGATTTTTAAGGGTGCAGTCCCACTTACATAGTTTGAATTCAAAACTTTTGCAAATTTGCATACCTTACTATATATTTTTATTCTTATTACCAATTTTCTTATAACTATAGTCTAGCCATTCCATTAGGACATCGAAGTGAAACCGTCATCAATTTTTAAATGTCTACTAATACTTAATTTGCAATGACTTTGCAGCTCTGTCATTATTTTTGTTTCAATAAATTTATTCTTTATTAATGCACAGAGCCTTTTAAGTGTTCAGTGATGATCATGCTTATAACTAAAGAAGTTAAATTATCTTTATTTTACAATGCGAATTCTTTAGACAATAATTTTGTTTAATCAAAAATACTCTGTGTATCGTTTAGTAAAATAATTTTGCTTCTAAAAAAAATAAGAATTAATTTTAATTCTGCATTTTCAGGAGTTTTAGGGTCCGAAGCTATAGCTTCGATTGAAACCATCTTACTGCAGCAAAAGGATAGTTATACCATAGATACTATATACCCCTGGATACGAAACTCCTCTATGCACACATATAAAATCCCATAAGGAAACGTCATAAACGTCACATCCGGCTGTCCTCACCCTTGTTTCGCTGCATTCATGGCTGCCAGGGTAAGTAAAACAATCACAGTAGCCTATTCGTTTGTTAAAGTAGCTGAATGATCCCTCAGAGGACTTTGCAAAGCCTTTATATATTGAAATAATGCTCATAAACGATAGTTTGAGTGCATATTTTAGTTCTACAATCGATGTCATAGCCTACTTGTTGTGTACATTTCACTCAAGCCACTTTTTTAGCTTAACTCTGTTGAATTAAGCCAACATTTTTTATTGTACTGATAGGTTATTGTTTACTAGTTGTAGTGGGGTTATTATTTAGAATTTGTGTTAAGTAAAAGAGCTGTTATTTTCTAAATCTTGGTTTTTCAAGCCCCACCTTTCTAGCCAATTTTTCTTTGTAATACTTGACTTAATTGGAACTTTTTGTATATGGTTTTGTAGCTTAAGAATAGGTAGTTGTAGTGGGCCTATTCTCAAAAGGAGTGTATTTTTAGTTTTGGTGCAATTGTGTTGTCAAAATCATCATTTTTAGGTGACAAGAGATGGGAAAGTCAT